GCTTTCTCTTTTAGGTTTTTGTTCAGGAAGGCATTAACTTCCCATGTATATGTCCAGAGATAATAGTTAAACTCTTTAACTTTCTCTGGGATGGATGGTGCTGTATAAGTTCCTGCTCTACTCGATTACATATTAACTGCTTTCTTAGTTTGCTTAAAGTCACTGAATGAAAGGAAACGTAGATGCAGATGAGTTTGGGAAAAGCAAAGCCATCCTAAATTTGGAACGTTCATCTTGTTTCAGGAGTTAAATGGATGTCTGGGAATCCCAGTCTGAGTTGATCTTCCTCTGTAAGTTGTATTGAAGAACTGAGACCAAGCAGGAGGGGAAACAGTTCAGTAAAGAAAACCATTTACTGAAAAGTTCATTACAGTGAAAGAGTGGAAGATGGCAACTTCTACAATACACAAGTACTGACCCTTTTCCACAAATCTTTGGAAATTTCCACTAACCAAAAACAGAGAGGCTGCAGCAATTGCAAAGGATCATAAGCCTCATTTACTAGGGGATAATAAGGACTTCCACTGTTTGTTCTCATCTGTAACACYGTATGCACTGCTTGAATTCATAACTGAAAGACTCACAGATCTCATATCTGTGAAATCTCACTCATCCTGCAAATTCCAGCTACTGTCTTGGATTCAAATATCTGTCTTCCTCCTATTTGTTTTCACATGTTGTGGATTTCAGTATAGTGAAGATAGTTTTGTGATATGATGTAATCAAGCTCGGTGTGAACTTACACCGGACAAGAAGATAGCAGAAAGAAAGAAAGAGGCTATAGCTCCATTCAGGTCTATACAGCATACTGTGTAGGATGTGATAGGAGAGTAATCACAGATACTTCTTACCCATCACAAGTATGTGCTCTCTCGGATCAAAGTCRCTCTTCACATTTTAAGAACTATAAGCACTGATCTACTGGAAATATCCAGTGAAGATCCCTGGATTTCCACAAAGATGAGTCAAAGGSTTGGCAAGAATTGGGTCATGGTTCATCCTTGGCAAAGCAATCTTTTTGCAAAGAGGCTGAAATTACTCATGTTGTTCATGATGTTGAACATGTCCATAATTATTTCTTYCTCTAAGTAATCCTCGGCCAGAATAACTGAACTCTCTTACTGAGTACTCCTCCCGCAGTGTATCAGTAGTGCTCTTATGCTGTCATGTGTGTCATTCTATGGAATGCTTTCAGGTAAAGATTGAAGGATATCTTGACTTGCTTTGTTTGCACAGTGTAAAGTGCTCTGTGTGGCTTGTCCTTTTATTTATTTTTTTCCCTAGTTTTTTTTTTTTTTTTGCCAAGTATTCAATATTTAAATGCCAACATCTTTTTTTGGAAGTGGTTGCTAAAACAGGTGGTCTTTTCTCACCTAGCCCCCTTCAAAGTGATATTTGAGGCATTTATTTATTTATTTATTTATTCAGCCCAGATGGTAGGCTTTTTAAAGTGAGCAATGTGTTGCAGTGAAAATCAAATACTACTTTCCCCTCTTTTGCTCCTCCTTTGCTTAACTGAATGCATCCGTGCAGCTCATATTTGTTTGGGTTGGATTCAAAATTAAGTCAGACTTCAAAGTAAATATGTCAGCTATTGGAAAGCCAGTTCTGCAAGATTGAAGGAATTTCTGCCACTGCCAACAGTCAGCATAGCGAGTTGACAGCACAAAATCTGACATCTGTATGGACCTCGTTAAAATGCTGTTCCATTTCTCCAGAAAAAAATGGGCAAGATGTTCTAATTAGGTCCTTCCCATATCTGTCACTTGCATGTGTGTGAGAATGCATCTTGTCATGCGTGTGTGCAGAGTGGCCCTGAGCTGTGCAGCAGGCTGTGTTCTCTGCACGTGGGCAGGGACGCTGCATTCCTGAAAGCTGAGGGTGTGGACTGGATTGAGGATTTCCTTGAGCCTTGAGGGTTTTATGTTGGTTGAAGACTTCCAAAGAGAAGTTAGAATGAGTAATTTAAACAGTTCCACATGTGCAATTGTTTTGACAATTCTTTATCCACAAATGGATTCTTTATAGATGGGGTAATGTGCATAGCAAGCTTGTAGATGCATTGACTGTGGGTTTAAAATTGCTTTGTCTGTAACCTGTGACTCTTATAGGAGCTGATAAAGGTCATACTTTAAGAGAAAAAGCCTAAAAGCTTTTGCTTTGGAATAGGGCTAAGTCACAGTTGGTATTCCAGTTCTGTAGCAAAGCTTGTGCAGGTTCTTAATAAGAAACTTCATCTGCGTCTGTTTCGTATTTGGTTTAAAAAAAAAAAAAAAAAAAAATTTAGTACCACATCCTTACTTTAGAAAGAGGTGAAGGATAAATTTGTTGTACGACATCGGAAGTCCTGTAAGCAAACATCTTGCTGGGTAACAGATGGAAGTTGGTATCTGCCTCAGGAATGTTCATTCAAACTAGAAGAGCACAAGTACAGCATTTATTTAAAGAAGTTATTAACTGTGGGAGATGATTCTTGTCTTTTGAGGGTTTATTATACCTTTTTGGTTTAGAAGCAAAGAAAATCTTTTACTTAATTGATTTTGCTTGATCTTAATTTTTCACTTAAAGAGTCCTTAAGATCATTGCAAAAGCTTTACAGGCAAGATACAGCAGTAGATCTGACAGAAGATGAGCTTTGGTCATTCTCCACAGGAAGTCTTAGAGCACTTGGAAATGAATCCAGTTATCTTGTTTTCTAAGAAATACCACCATGGCTAGAGGGAAGAAGACAGTTAAAACAAGTGCATCTGAGACCTGGAGCCTCTTTGTAGTTAATGACTTGCCACAGAGTCTAGAAGAGGTCTCACTTAGGTTTTAACAGCAAGATTTTGAATAGCTCCAGTTTAATGGAAGCAGAGTAGGTTAGATGGGACGTGTCAGCAAGACGGTTAGAAGAAGGTAGCAAAGAGCAAAAGCACAAATAAGTATGAGATCTGTTTATGTTATTTCTGCCTAAATATATTGCCTGGGTGCTTAGATATCAAGAGAGAGAGAGCAAGAGCATTGGTAATTCCTGGTTCTTTTGTGATGCTTGAAAGTTCAATTTTACATCAGAAACTTGCTGTCAGATGGGCATTTGAGATTTCTAAGTTTTTAAGAGAAAACAGCTACTATGACAAGTGCTGGAACAGTGTTCCACAGGTACTGTGCTGAGCTGAAACCTATTGTTTAGGTGGGAAGGGAAAGAGAGTTAGGATCTTCTTTTGAACCTCTTGGATGTTTTATAAATAAACTTCAGAACATGGCATGCTGTCTGTATTGTTATGTGAAAAAGAATATTTGTCTATCATATCACAAGCTAGTAAAGGCATACCTTAGTTTGTACTATTACTGTATTTTTTTTTCCAGTTGCAGACGGGCACGTTCTTAGCAAACAACTTATAAGGTGATAATAGAGTGTGTACGGTTTGGCAGATTCACTTTCTGCACCACTGCCTCCATGGTGTTTTTGCTTTGGTAATTGCATATCAGGTGCAGGTCTGTGACAAAGATGGGCTTGAATGTGTTTGAACACTGTTTTTTTTTTTTTAATGATACATTCAATAGTTGAACATAAAACTGCAAAACTTGGTGTCAGCAACARTGCTTTAAGAGACCGCCCTAGCCTGGAGTTTGTTATTGGAAGTATTGTATTTGTTCAGTTTTTCACTGCTGGAATAGCCAAGGACAAACGATATTCACAACTGATTTGTATTTAGGTAGTTGGGCCRGAAGTACAGTTGGGTACAGCTTTCCCCAAACAGCTGCTGAGTTTAAGGCATTTTTCTGGGTGATGGCAGTACTAGAATGGGCTAGAGCTGAGCATTTTCCAGTATGCTTCATGTCATAACCTTTTTGCAATGCAGAGAGAGAAAAACACTCTTGCTTCACTGGAAAAGCAGTGAGATGGAGACTGAAATTGAATTTGAAGGAAACTGATAAAAGCAAAAAGACATTAAATTGCCAGCTGCATAACCTGGCCTTGTTTTTGGCAGGTTGTTTCTTTCTTTATTGGGGGCACTGTGGCAGGAGCACTAAACTGGATGTGTGTGTGGCTGGTGATTAAGGTTGTTGCACCTGCCTCTCAAGGTGCAGTCATGCAGTTTCCCTTTTGTTCAATGAGCCACATATGGAGCTGCTGTTCTTTTAGGAATGTCAATTCTGCTCTTACTCTCCAAGTCCAACCTGTGAATTAATCTCTTCTGATTACTAAAGTCACCCAAGTGTATTTATCTTCATTTAAGTTTGCATTTGTGGTACCTGCGTTCCAGAAGTAACACACAAGATTGAAAACACAACAGATTGATCTATTRCTCGTTAGAAGTGTGTTCAACCTCAAAGGCAAGTCTGCCCAGTTTCCTGCTACACTACTATCTTCGAATGTGGTGTCCTGCTACTAAACCTTCTCCCCTTGACAGGTTTGCTAATATGCTAGATGTCTTACCTGTCAGTGGATAGAGGTGTGCCAGAGGACCAGGAACAGGACCAGGAAACTCGATTCTAATTCTGACTAGCAATATTATATTTAAAAATGATTTGAAAAGCTTGTATGAATTAGCCAATATGCTACTTGGTTTGGTTTCCAGCCCTCAGGTAAAAAGTAAATATTCTGTGAATGTAATATTGAACTGACAAGCATGGGCGTACGGAGCTATGTTCCTGTAGCCTTGACTGGTTTACTTGTGTTTAGACCCTTTGAAGAAGGAAAGATTTTTAACAAACTTTGCTTTGACCTGAGAATACAAACAATGCTGGCTGTATGTTCCTAGAAATAAAATAACATTGGAGGGAGGGGAAAAAAATAAATTAAGGGGGGGTGAAGGGGTTATTAGTGGAGAACAGGTGAAACATTGATTTAAAAAAATGCTAGTAAGTGCCACATTGACGATACTGATAAGTAACGTCAAAATAACCAGAGTGGATAGGTTTGTCTTGCATTGATTTATCTACTGATAAACAGCTTGCTCAGTGATTGCTGTCTTTTTTTAATCTCCCGTAACCTTTCCTCTTTTCTCTTGCAGAGAGCCAACTGTTGCCAGGGAATAATTTCACAAATGAATGCAACATTCCAGGAAACTTCATGTGCAGTAATGGGCGCTGTATCCCAGGGGCCTGGCAGTGTGATGGGCTGCCAGACTGCTTTGATGAAAGTGACGAGAAGGAGTGCCGTAAGTGACCATTGCCCTTGCTGTGATGTGCCTACTATAACAAGCCTTGGCTAGRCAACATTAATTGTGTGTTCTGCAGCGCGTGTTACTTAAGTAACAAGGCTGCTGGCAGTTTTTTAATGTAGCTCCTGTTAGAGAAGATATACAGACTTATTGATTATTTTAGGTCTTTGAGGTTCTTCAAATTGGTCTATTTATTGTTTGGTGCTTTGTTTGATGCAAACCTCTGTTTACGGAGTCAGACCATTTCTAGATTTTTTCCAGTGGAAGGATGGTGCTCAGAGTGACTGCTTCAGCACACTGGCCTATATTGTAAAGACTACAGCTACCTGCTGCTACAAATTCACCTCCGCTGTTGAGAGCGTGCTGGTCTTCTGTTAGCAGGTCACAAAAGCCAATAGAACAGCATAAAGACAGCACTCAATTAAATCTACCTTCCCCTGCCCCATTCTACCCCTGCTGCACCACCACCCCCTCAAAAAAAAAAAAAAAAAAAAATCCATGCAAATGAGTCTGTAGAGTATCCTGAGAAGAATCCAGAGCTGCCCATTTTGCATCTCTCTATTAGTTAATAGCTTTTAATTTGGTGAACACTGCCAAGGGCTTTCTCTAATATTATTGCCCTTGTGCTGAGGGGATGCTGAATAGGCTTGTGCAGCCACAGCTTATGCCACATTGCCCTGTCTTGCAAATAATTTCTTGTCTCCAAAGGAAATGATTTCCTTCACCAGGGTCTTCTTTCCTTGGCAGGTGGAGTGGAGGGAGAATTTTCACTGGGACAGAAGGCTGGCAAAGTAAAAGGGGACTGGAAAGGCCTCTTTTGCATTGTTACTTGTTGATTTTGAGTTCTGGAAGTTGTTCTACTATCTCAGTAATGATCTCATGATAAACCATGAAATAGTCCATTTTGAATCCTGCTAAGTACCTGGTTTAAAGAGAAATTTCAGTCACTTTTAGTTTATGTAGGTATATACATACAGCGTGTGTAGCTAAAACGAGATTTGTTTTGCTCTTTTGATGAATTTTGAAAATGGGCTGTTTYCTATGGATATTGCTATAGCTGTCCCTAACTAGTCACCATGCATTAGRAAGGGACCAAAAATACCGATGTCTGAATTTGGTGTTAAAGGGTTTCTCCAAGGATGGAGCCACAGCTTCCTGGGTACCTGTACCAGTTTGAATAGCCTCATTGTTAACATTTATTTTTCTTAATATGTAAGCAATTTTCAGTCATGAAGTGGAAGTTAAACAGAATGTGAGTTTTTGTTTTGTTTTGTTTTAAATGTGCAATATGATTAATATTCAACTCTGGCCCTAATGTGTGTGTGTGTGTGTGTGTTTGGGGTGGGTAAAGGTCAGATGTAGAAAGACAAGAATTAGTCTTCCTCACTTCACGAACAGCAGGTGTTTCTGCTAAAAAGTCAGTACAATTACTGATATTCAAGATTTGTAAGTGTGCGTCGCCTCTGGTGGTCTCATTGTAGCAGTGTGTGTATTGTCACCTGTATCACAGTAACTCAGCAAAGGACAGCCATACTTGAAAGTATCATTTCAGCATCAGAGGTGTGTGTTTTTATACATACATATGTATATGCATCTGTATATGTCTGTGTGTGTGCATATATATATAAACACACTTACRCATGCGCACACACATATTTGTGAATCAATTTAAAATCTTTATTTTGTAATTTTTAGGCCTGTCTTTGTTTCCCTGTCAGAATATAGCACTCTACTTATTAAAACCTATCGTGCAGCAAAATTGAAGTCCTTTTTTTTTCCACTGGGATGTTGCTTTGCAGTAGCTGAGCTGCTGATAGTTAAGACAAAGAGTTGCAGGAGCAGCACGAGATGGCTGAGTGCCCAGCATGTTACTAGCCTGAGCCGAGCTTTAAGCTGTTTTGTCTGACTTCTCTTTGAATAACTAGTGTGCATTTAAAGGCTTTAGCCTTCCATTAAAGTGTTTGTGAATAGGATTTTGGTAGCAGGATTTAGATTGGGCTGCACACTAACACTTCTGTGAGACAAGAGTGCTGTGTTTTGGCAAGCGCACTGAGGAAGTTTTGCATGCATTTGTGCTGTCAGGTGCAAAGTCTCTTTCTACTTTTTGTGTTGCCTTGCAGTCGAATGTGTATGTCCAGGAACGTTTTGATCAGTTGCATTTCAGTAGAACATGACCGTTTTTGTGCCCTTCTGAACATGAATGCTTGCAGCTCATGAGTTCTGGTTCTTATTGTGTGCAGCCCATGTGTGAAAATTGCTGCTATGTATTCTGAGAAACTGGAGGATAGCTTAGCATTTTATACCTCCCACTGCAGCTCACCTCCTTACAAGTATAAGGAAGAAGTGAGATGYGAAGAAGGAATTAAAGCAGAATTACTTTCAACTTGTCTATTTGGGATTTGTCTCTTCAGTCTGTGGTGGGGTTTTTTTTGTTGTTGTTGTTTCTGTTTTACAACCCCTGCCCCCCTTTTCTGACTCTGCTTTGCGGGGCCTTCTATGTTAACAGTGTTGTTTTACTTGTGTGTGTTTTTTTTTGTCCCTCCATCTTCCACATTTATGAGAATTTGTACCATCTGTCATATTGCTTGCTTTCCCTGTGCCCTAATTGGTGATCACTTTAACACTTCTCGTGCTGCACAGAACCCTTCAGTATAGGTTTGTCTTTTGTGAGCTGGTGACATAAAAAATTTTGGTTTGGTTTGGGAAGRAGGGATGGGAAAAGGCGTAAGAGGGAGGCAGGAACCTGAGACAGTGAACTGTTTGTGAACTGTTTCTACTAGAAGCAAAGGATCTCATTGGCTTTTTCTCCCATCCACTAATTGAGCTTGAAAAAAAAAATAATTGACCATAGAAATATGAATGTTTCATGAGTATTTCCAATTCTTGATTGTTTGAATATCCTACCATCTCCAGTCCATCTCCTGGAGAACCCATTTGTAATTGCTTCCCCTAGCTCTGCTGGTTCTTGTTTCACAGCCTGTTAATCAGCTTGTGCACTCAAATATGTTATGCAGTTTTCTTTGTAATGTTAGTGCGCTTTTCACTGCTACTTCTGTTCTCTGGTAGATGACTGCTCTTGCCAACCAGACTTTGCTGTTGAAATCGTAGCTGTTGATTATTGCTTATACTGTAAAAGATGGAAACTGCATATATCGTTAGCCACCTGACATCCACAGTCTCTTAGCGCAAATGGAAGATCCAAAATGATAAAAAATAGAGAACCTGAGGAAAAGGAACTTTAAAGTGTCTATATGTGTGCACATGCATGTTTCAGACATGGAAATCCTAATGGAAGGATTTTCTCTTTGAGATTTAGGAGCAGGATGATGTTCTTARTAAGCACATAATGTCCTCTCTCATCTTATTTCCTCTTTTCTTTGCTCTTTTCTATATCTTTGTGTTTGATTATTACAGAAAGAACAATGTGAGCACTGGATAAGGCTTTTGTCAGCTAATGAGCTAGTGGAGAGATGGCATGTTGCTGCCTGTCAGATAATGAACAGCAGATGGTACAGATTCGGAGCATGGCACATCATCCGTGCTAAGTGCTTGCCATGACAGGAGCCAGAATTACAGATACACCAAATACCCAGAACTCCAGATTTTCCTTCATCATTCTTCAAGAGTCCTTTCTTTCATGACAAATTTGTGTGTTTGGATTTGAGCGAACAGTGCACATAGTGACCAGACGTGTTATTCCAAAGTTGTGGGTGGAAACATCTTATACAAGATTTACTCATTCTTGTGTTAGGACCTTCTGTATCTTTCATGTTTCCATTTCCACTTGTCATCTCCACTTAACCCTATTGCCTATCCAGTCCAGAATATAAAGGTAAACTGATTTCTAAATTGGTGATAAAAGCTTTCTAATGGGAATTTATAGAAAGATAACCAAGCAACAGGGCATCAGTGGTGCTCATAACCGTGCACTGTTTTGCACCAACATAAAGTGCTGACCTCTGTAGGAACATTTGGAATCAAAGTAGTAAAAAGTTCAGTTCATCACCCTGTCAGCAGATCTCATCTGACAGTTTCACAGAGCAGATGTGCTGAGTAACAGGGATTAGAGTCTTTCCTCCTCCATGAGGAATGAAAAATGTTTTCATTAAATTAAAAGCTTTGTGACATGACGGGTTTTGACTACCATTCCTCAGGCAGGCATTGAAGTTGCCTGCCAAGCAGGCATCCACTGAAGGTTAACTTGGTCTCTTGTCTGGTTGCAAACATCCAATTCCTCAGCATGTGCTTTACAGGGACCCGCTTGTACTCCGGACTGATAGGCCCTGGATATCTGTGTTCAGCATGGGATGGAGAACCAAACTTTAGCAGAGTCCCAGGTCAGCAGGCTAAGTTTCATACTCAAATTTGGCAGTCTGGGAAGCCAGCTATATCCTGATGACTGGTAGATCTGGTAAGAACATTTCTGATTCTCTATCAGAGAAGTGAAACTCTCGGGGCATGCGGCAAAGACTATGAGCAAAGGCTGAGAGAGCTGGGCCTGTTCAGCCTGGAGAAGAGGAGGCTGAGGGGGGACCTGATCAGCGTGTATAAATACCTCAAGGGAGGCAGTGAGGAGGAGGGGGGCGTCCTCTTTTCAGTGGTGGACAGGGATAGGACTAGAGGAAATGGCTTCAAACTGAAGCATYGGAAGTTCCACAGGAACTTAAGGAAGCATTTCTTCACTGTGCGGGTGACAAAGCACTGGAACAGGCTGCCCAGAGAGGTTGTGGAGTCTCCTTCTTTGGAGATCTTTAAAACCCGCTTGGATGCAGCCCTGTGCCACGTGCTCTAGGTGACCCTGCGTGAGCAGGGGGGTTGGACTCGATGACCTCTGAGGTCCCTTCCAACCTTCGGCATTCTATGATTCTATGAAAACTAGGGCACTTGTGACTTTGTGGGTTTTGGTGACAAGTACTCTACTACTGTGGAATGTAAAATAAATAAATACTACTGTAGAATGAAGCTGTTGGTTGTTTTTGTGAGATGTGGTGCTGGTG